CACCAGCGGGTTCCATGTTTGTTTGTGGAGAAGGGATTGGGGTTCCGTCAGGAAGTTGCACTGCTGGTTCCGTCTTGATCCTCCATCTGGCTCCCCGGCTGCGCCACCGGCCGTGCCGCGGAATCCACCACCTGCCGGCCACCGGGTCTGCAGCGGGGCCGTCAGTGCCCGGAGTCTGAGATGGGAGTTCTTCGATTCAAGTCGAATGGGATGTAGAAGTAAGTCCAGCCTGTCTACAAATGTATGCACATGACTAGCACCCTCCAACATACTGTGACACCTGTAGAAGACCTGCTGGAGGCGCTGCTGGGTGTCATTTGATACAAGAACGGTCATGTGTTTCGGTCGTCCACATTCTTGAGGATGATATTGGGATGTTGTATGGTGCAGGGTGCAGAAGTGGAGAACAAGTTGATCTTGTATGTGTGAGAGAGGGTAGACCCATCCACAACCTGCTTCACGTCTTTGGTTGAGGTGCCTACATCTCGCTACCAACTACTATCAGACCACTTCTTTTCGAGACAAAACTAATGATCAATCAGCTCAAGGGTAGATCTCCATGTCAAAAGCCGCAGATCACATGATCGCAAGGCAACTTCCGGAGCAAAAAGCCAAGCATCAGTCGATGTTTTCCTCAATTTCCTCACAAATTCTGAGACCTTTAAAGTGACCTCTATATCCTCCTATGCACCTCTCCAAGCAAACATGCGCCTCACTTCAATTCTGCTTCTTGGTTTCCCACCCGTTGCTGATGTTTTTTATCCGGCCACCTGCCGGCCGCCTGCCCGCCCCGCTGCCCGCACCGCAGCCACCCACGGATCCGCTGCAGGGAGCCTCCTGCATGATGCTCAAGGCCCGATCAGCACCCTCTTGCGAGGCGCTGGCCAGGTTGCTCAGCACCGCCTGGCGGAGGTGGTGCCGGACTCCAGAAAGAATGGCATTGGAGGTTTGACAAAGAAGATCTTCTACTGGAAACCATGGTGGTCGCCATCTACCATTCAATTGGTTCTATAGGGCCAGAAAGCTATGAGTCCTGTAGATTTTCCCTTAAACCAATCCTGATGGTGGGAATCACATTGCAGTGTGGGAACCCCAACCGAACTGGTGGTTTTTCAGCCTCATTTCTGACGCAGAAATGTGGGAGACCATTCTATTCCGGGATGCTTTTGACGGGATCAGGAGGCCTTTGCGAAACGATACCTTTCGGTAGCGCCCAATGGACCGGTGATGTCCGTCCTCCCAAGGGACGACGACCGCTGGCCCGGGGCCACTGCCGAGCGCGTTTTCGGGGGATCCAGGGGAATGGTCATGTACAACGTTCCGCATGAATCATACAACGTGAAATGTTGAAACATCTTGAAACAGTTGATGGGTGGCTTCGGATCTTGGTCCACCCTGCTAAAGGACTGTTCAGCGCTCAAGCCATGCCCGGCAGCACCCTGTAGCGCATGTCCACCTGCGCATGGGCCGCTGCCTTAGCCATCTCAAAGTCCGCAAAAGTATGCGTTCCTTCACACCCCTCGGCATCAAAGGCTTTCAAAGGGGGCTCTGCACGCTTCTATGAATCGACTTCTAAGGCAACCCATCAACTCTGCTCCTGGCGCTGCACCGCTCCCTCTGCTGAGGCCAAGGACCTCCCCACAGCCAGGCTCAACCTTAGATTGATCCCTGGAACTGGGACCACTTGGGGAGGGCTCCAAAATCTTGGAACCAACAAATGATTTGGTGTCAAACCAATTGCAGTATTGGCTTATGGTGTCATTTCTTTCAACATCTTCTGACTCTTGGTTTCATTCTGTTCGCTTCTTGGCTTCACATGCCAACTTTGAGTCATCCACACGTCTATGCTGCGCCAGTTTCCAAACGATTGGCGCGAGCTGAAGGACGTACACGATGATGAGCGTGTAACAACTCCTACTTGACTTTGATCAAAAAGAATATAAAGAGCCAAATCGAAGACCCAAGTTGACGTGGCCAAGGATCTCCAGCCTCATCAAACAATTATAACATATATAGTATATATATAAAGTACAATGTGTTTTGTATAATTTTGAAATATTACTTAATAATTTATAGTTTAATAATAATCTAACCTAATCTCATCCAACAGACTCAGTGCCCGGCACCCAAAATGGATGCTGCACGCTTCTGTGACCTCACAAAGGGGGTCGTTCGAGTGTGTCATGCCTTTCAACGCGTCAAGACATCTGGACTGACATGTGGCAACACCCAAAACACGTTGTTTGGGTCATCCTTGGTGTTACCAATGTCTTCCATGACCGTCCTCGTGCTTTTCAGTGTCTACAGCCTACAGGTCTGGGCCCTCCTTCTTGGTGCTGTTGATTGATGAAATCCTATATACAACCAAAATATGTCATATCATGCCAGGGCCATATCCCACTGATCAGTGACGAAGATGATGAAGGAGCGGCTAGTGCTAGCGGCTGGTCTCCGACAAAAAGGCCCAAACAAATGGAAAGCCTTCAGTTCCATCTTCCCCTAGTAATCGGAGTCTATGTGTCGATCTCATTGCTTCACTGACTAATTATCCACCAATTTCAATTTCACCATATCTCCCATCGATGGCTCTTCCCCCCCAAAACCGAGGCTTTCACAGGATGCCACCCTCGTCATCCATGACCTTCGCCAGCGTCGTCGACGCACGACGAACGACACGACTACGCCTACGTGGCTTGGGTGATCAACCCAAACACTCCCAGGTGTGGCATGTTTACATGCATTGGGGTGGTGGAAACGAGGTCAATGGGCTGGCAATACATTCCAGTCCCAGATAGAGTGTTGATGAATTCTTCTTCTCACAAAGCCATGCTCCGGGACCTGAGATCCGAAACGGAGCAGTACACGAAGGGCGGCCCCCCCGGAACAACCGGACTGTTGATGAATTAAAAAAACAAAAAGGGAGATGTATATAGATCAGTCAGCACTAGTGGAGGTGCTTCTCAATCAACATTTAATACTATATAACAATATATTATATAGTCGACCCTGGGAGTAATCGGAGTAAACCATACAATTGCCGGCCTTTTGAGCCTCTTTTAAGCGCGTGGATCTCTTCATCCCTGTTTGATGCTGGTCGTCTTGTCCCCCCCAACCAGGTGGAATCTTTGCTTTTGCACTCGAGAAACGTGGAACCCATTAAACAATCTCCAACCTGCAGGAGGTGTCATCCTACGAGGAGCCAGCATCACAAACGCACGCAACAAATGGATCAGAAGGCAAAACTAACTGCTCAATCTATCGGCACTTGTTCTCAACCACTGAAGAAAACTAGCCGCTTGTGAGAAGATCCAGGGTTTTTTTAAAGGTTCATTCCCAATTTGACCTCGCAATACTGGCGCAGCTCACCAGAGCCGATGCGAGTCTGGTGCCATGGGGCATAACACAGCTCTGCCAGCTGATGTGCTCCAAAGGAGTCCAAACCTGGGTTGACTTGAGCCAGTTGAGAAGGACAGATTTATGATTTCATGATGTAGAGGTCCCAACATAGCATGTATGTAATAATACACATCGAAATAATGCCCGTTTAGAGGGAACTTACTTTGTTTTACAATTACACAATTATCAGTTATATATTATGCAAACTTTCGGGGGTGTCGCTTTGTGCGCAGAAAAGTCCATGCACCAAGATGTGGATGAACAAAGCGCAGGTAGCAAGCGGCAGGATTGCTGGCAAGCCCGCTCTCACAAGCATGGCATCAAGGGCATTGGCCCCATCTTCATCCTAAGCTCCCAGCTAAGCATTGCCTCCACTGCCTTGGCAGCTGCCTGATGATGCTTGTGGATGCGGAGAAGCAATGTGTGTTCATGTCTTTTTGTAGCAAAGGGGATGTGGATGATGTAGACAAACTGTTGAACAAGAGAATGTACAGTAACCCAAGAGTTCTGTTTGCTGAAGGAAATTTGGCCCAGTGACAGAACAACTGAGGGTCCAAATCCTTGACAAACCCGGAAGTCTGTGTCACCAATGGGAAACTTTTATGAGACTCACGAAAAACTGCCTTGCGATGATCGCTTACTTGCACAACAAATCATCAACAAAGCCATACATCGAGGACCTCTTCCGCTTTTGCGGAGCAAAAATCAGACGCAATCGTACCAGGAGCCCCATGAATCTCATCCATCCCCTGTGATTCGATCTCTCCCACGCGTCATTATTTTTCATCGATCCGTCCAGATGACTCTTGGGGTCTGCTGTGAAGCTCCCAAGTGGACACGAGAAGAAGGCCCACAAATGTGTGGGCTCCATGCAGGTTGGTTGGGAGGACTCGTCAAATGTCATGTAGAATATGGATGACACTTCAATATATTTCAGCCCCCCATATGACGACATATAGAAGAACTAAACTGCCCATAATATGAAGACATATAGAAGAACTAAATTCAGGGGCTTTACATTCCATGTCTTGTTTCCTATCATCCACCTTCTACATGACCACCTCAGCCGGACCACGGGGTGGACCACAGGTTCACCTCCTTGGACCCGCGCCTTGACCCGCCCCAGCGCCGTGGTATACAGTGGCTTTCCATCAGAGGCTCCGACCTGGGACGCGCGGAGCCGTGGCGCGAGGCGTTGACATGGTGTCAGCCCTGTTAGGGGGGGAGAGAGTTGCCATTTCCTTTGAACGAGCAATCTTCTGCCCCCAAACAAACATCCACTCATCACTCAACAAATCAACAAAGCAGTATCAGTACCATCACGCTCCGAGCATGACACGTGCATCTGGTAAGATCTGAGTTGCCCACGGCCTTCTCGAAGTCTTCCACGGCCTTAAAAAGACACGCGCCAATGCGGTGGGCATCGGACATGGCCCGAATGGTGCTTTGGAGTCTCCGTGAACTTGCTTGAACTTGGCCCTACCTCCAGGTGGGTTTCAACAATTGGGGTGGTCGTCTGGTCCTTCTCATTGTTACTCATCGACTCAGTTCGCCTCTTATCTATAGTGGTTTGAGTTTAAATCAAAAGCATCGGCCCGAACTCTTCACTGGTCCTTCCATTTTCTCCCACCGAGAATGGGATGACCAAAGGACGAACCCTCCAGCTCCGTCGGCTGTCGGCACCCGGCTTCGGCCCGGTTGTGATCAGACCCGGAGGACATCAACGGATGGATCACCCCCTCGCCGATGACGGAAACCCAGGCCTTCTGCACGCTGGCAGGCGTGGCTGTGAGAGCCTCGGCGATGGAAGAGCATTTCTTCCATGTGGTGTTGGTCCATGTATGTCCATGTGGAGGCGTTATAGACCTCCAGTCCCAGAGTCCAGAAATTGGATGATATACTGGTAAACTTGCTATTCCTACCTCGTCTACTGTCTTGCCTTGCCCACATCTCGGAGATGCCCCTACATGCTGCCACTAATTAGATCAAATCTGGAGTTGGCAGAACTGAAGAAAAAAAAACATGCAAAAAAAACCTTTCGCATCACCGTCTTGACCTGACCTGTTTCACTCCCAAACCCTCCCCCGGTGGCTCCGTTCCGCTTGCTTCGCCGCTCCCCCCACGCACGCTCCGCACGCTCCGCACGCTCCGCTCCGCCTCGGTGGCCGAAAAGCCCAGCGCGGCGAAGTGGTGCGCCTCGGTCCGCTCCGCCCGAGCCGGCCGCGCAGCGAGGCGAAGCGGCGGGTCCGATGGTTTCCTTTCGGGTCACCGGGTCGGAACATCGGAACTCTTGGTTTGGGGGAGTAGGTTGGTGTGGGGAGGGGGAGTAGGTTGCGCCTGCTTGGCACCTGCTGGTTCTTCTGAAGGCGAACCCTGATTTGCCTTTTTCAAGCACTCTGGCAGCTATCTAATCCATAAACAGCACAAGGAACACCCGCTCAACATGCAGCTTCTCCACCAGGCGTGGAAGGGAACTCCTCATGTCTCATCACTCCCCTCTCGCAATGCATGAAGCTTCTCCACCACCTCATTGGCATATGCTTGGCGCCTTTTCCTGCCAAACACCTCAGATATGGGGCCGCACATTCACCCCCCCCCCAAAAAAAAAGAAACAAACAGCAACACACACAAAGCAGCTAGAGAAGAGGTGCTTGCAAACCCTCTGTCAAATTTGGTTCAAGTTCTGCCTGGGGATCTCAACAGCCGGTATACCCTTCTTTGGGCGACTCTTTTGACATATCCAAGGCACTCTGACTCCGATCAAAGTCACAGGCTTCGTGTTCTCTTCAGGCACCTCCTTCTTCTCTTGAGGCAATACCGGAACTAGACGAAAGCATTTATCAACAACATCAGCGTTTGATGGATATGGGAAGATTCGAACCTTGCGGCCTATTGTGGTAGAGTTTGTGTTCATTCTGACATACAGCCCGCCCTTTGTTAGATTGCACATCCACATCTCTCCTTCAGGTGCAAAGATGAGCTCAAGACTGTGCAAGCAAATGTCGTGGTCCATCCGGACAAAAAGAGCCTCATTGACGGTTTTGGGTGTCCATCTCCCGTCACATGAGGCCAATCCACAGACGAGTGCGTCAGCGGATTTAATATCAGCCGGCTGCGTGTTGATTCTAACGGTCACTGGTTCTGGCTCGCTCACCAAGCCAGCACGTTTGGATGCCCTCACTCGCTGTGGGGTTCGACCAAGCCAGAAATGCTCAATGACTTCATAATTCTGCTCGTGGGTCAAATGTACCCTTGCCTGGTCAAAGAACTTTTCTTTTGTCATGGCCCCGAAGCGGATGTGCTGCGACATGAGCCTCAGGATAGCTGTTTGCTGTGCCACCTCGTGTGCACCACTCTCCTGACCTTCGGTTTTGCTACGTTTCACCACCTCTTCCGTGGTGTTGGCGAAAGGCCCAAGAATCTCCGGTTGGCGCACAGCATTTGCTGACCACGCCACCAAGCAGCTCCACAAATCGTCTTCGTTCACATCAAACTCATCGAGTTTGATGAGTTGATCTATGATGAGACCATGCGCTACTTGAAAGGCTGGTGAGGCAAGTACTTTTGAGCTCTGCAGTAATATGTTGGTCCAATAGTGTCGGTGCAATTCTTGTACGAAACAAAAGCAGGACTTGGCAGCGGCAGTCATTGCCTGCAAAATCTGCGTGCAGTCTTTCAAGCCATATAAATAATCAGCACAATATCTTTCAAGCTTCTCAATAAGATACATTTTGGAAGCTTGCAGCGTGTGGACTGCGCTTTCCGGCGTAAGATTTAGCTTCAAATGGCAGGCTGCTCTCATCATCACCGTGAAAGCTTCAAATGTTGCATCTAAGGTGATCTCTCGTGAGCTGGCTTCTCTAAAATCACCGTACCTGCAAGTGATGAGTGACAGGAGCAATAGAGATGAATTCTTAAAAATGAGAGCGAAAATCCACCGGTATCTCCTTCTGTTGGTCACACCGCCCAGAACAGAAAAATTAAAAAAAAAAAAAAAAAAAACTATGGGACTATAACTGCAACCGGTACTCCGTTACGGCCAAGATACAAGGCCTTCTCCAGTGGCAGCGATAGGGCGGCCAACAAAGCCCGGATGAAGGGTACCCGGCGCCCGTTGCGCAAGACCGCCACGGCGTCGCAGTACTTCTACTCCGCAAGGATGCGCTCGGACCATTCGTCTTGAGCGCTTCGCAGGAGGGCATCCATCGAGCGGTTCGTTGCGGCCGCTGGCACCGGGGCGGTGTGGCAGGCGAAAGCTGCGGACAAAGACTCAACACCAAGCACACTAAGCACATCGAGACTTGAAGCCTAGCTTAGGAACCCCTTCGCTCACATATTATATTCACATTCGGTCTCCATGTTCTGTCCTGTTGAGGGCATCCTTTACCTTTTGCCCAAGTGTACCCCAACCAGTCAGTTGGGGCAGCCTATATACCGAAGTTCTGCACACCTTGCCATGGTGCCCCGATTCTCAATAAATATGTTTAATTCAGATTCATTCAGTGAGGATACGTAAGGAAGGAATGCATCCCCAAGTCTTGCCTTGAGTTCAGCAAGTGAGTGGATGCCACCCACATCCCAAGTGAACTGCTTCCATCAGAATCTGTCAGATTTCCCCATTTCGTTGGAGTTTTGACCTAACAAAATGGCTTCATCTTAGGCCTCTGAACTCCCTTCCAAAGCTGCTGACTCCTTCAACTAGTCCCAACAAGTCCCAACATGTCTGTGACTACTTCCATAGTCTGAGCCCATTTGCCACTGATCCGCCCCCACCCATCCACCCATCTGCCAGACCGGCACGGAGTCACCGCTTCACCCGGCCCTCTCGGCGCCCCCCACCGCGCGGGCCACGCGCCGCAGCGCGCGCTCCCGCGCGTCGGGGATCGCCGCCAGCTCCTCGGCCGTGGCCTCGGTGGACGCGCACGGACGACCGGTGAGTTGAAGGGACAGTTCAAGGGACTTCGTCCGATTCCAATATGTCTTCAACTCTCTGTTGGCGTGAAGTTGAAGGGAATATATTCAACTCTCGGTCGAAGTCTTCGTCCAATTCCCTTGATTCCAATACTTCAGCAATCCCTTGGCTTCCTGGCGGAAGTTCATCACTTCACCCTGGAGGACCCCTCCACACTGCAGCCGCTCCCTCTTTTCTTTGGGACCGCTCGAGTGGAGTGCGGGCCGTTAGGCTGCGCCCGGAGCGCCCGGAGCGACTGAGGAAGGCGTCGGCGCGGCTATGAGCTCAGATCCGCTCAGTAGCCGTAGGACTTGTCCACCTAGACGGATGGGGTTTGAAAGTTGGGCCAAACAAAGAACCTGCAGAAGGATCCAGCCAGGCACAGAAAACCACTTCATTTGCGGTAACAGCTGTGTGCAAGCCTGGTCAGCCGATGCTAAACTGATAAACCACGGACCTGGTGTCAGGGAGGCACTTTCTCATCTATCTTCGCTCATGAGAAGCTCGCATGTGTCAGTTGTGTGCCAATTTGGAACTGAAACAGCGGAACAGTGACAAATATATCTTCAGGAACAACTACTGCAGTTGGCACGTAGGCAGCTTGGCCCCAAAGCTGCCTTGTGGTACCAAACAGTAGAATACACGGGTCAAACTGGATGGGGTAAGCAAACACAAACCATAAAATGATGTCTGATACTGATATGGACCTGGTCAGAAGCCTGCAAATGAGGAGGAGATGAAGCGACCATAGGGCTACAAAACAACAAAGCCTCTGGTTTATGGCTTACTCCACCTTTGAAGTACCTTGAATACTACCGCCTCCCAAGTGGAACAAATAATGTGCCTAATAATGCTTGAAGCCACCCGTTCAAAAACCCAGATTAGTAAGATTAGTTATTTTTAGAAGAACCATAACAAGGAGGGACTCACCGTGGCATCATCCCATCCATCCCGACTCCTCCGAAACCAACCCACCAACGGTCTCCGGTCTTCGAATCGACCGATCGACCGACGCGGGCCGCAGCGCCGAGCTGGCGGGGCCACCTGGTTCTTGAAGCCCGAGAACTCCGGCGATCGGAACAGCTGGAGATTCTCCAGGAAGATCTCCCAGGTTTGGTTCATGTACCTCAGCACGAGCGAAGTCGCTCGAGCTGACCCCAGCCACCTATACTGTAGCCACCCTGGCCTGCCGCCCCGGCAGGTTGGAACTCAGGAAGCGAAAAGAAGGGCTTATATAAATGTAATGAAAGCCGAAGCTGGCTCAGGTTTGGACCCTGAAGCCAACCAGAAAAGGTAGTCCGGTGTAGAGTCATCGATTCCATGACGTCTTGCTCTTGAGCTGGATATGCCCTTGGCCACCCAGGTCTGATGATGTCTCAACCTAATTAATAGGTGAAGGCCCAGGCTTTCAGTCGGGATGAAAGCCTCATCGATTTTCCAATCCGGGACCCTTTTGCAGCAACGAGTGTGGAGCGGTTCACCCATATCTACGTAGTCCCACTGCCTAACTGTAGGCAGTGCGTCCGTCGTCCGTCACACCAGTGGAGAAGTTGAGATGCCTCAAAGCTTCATGTCCGTGCGTCTAGTACAAGAAGTGAACATCCAATACATCCACTATCATCCACTATCATCCACTTGTCCTCTGCCTCCCCATGTTTTAAGAACATCAACCCCGCAGACCCAACGCTTCCCCCCCACATCACAGATTGGTTGTCACCTGAAGACTGAAAATTCTCTTCGCCACTCCCATACTGTTGTCTCTATCTTTTGCTTCCATCTGACTGGCCCACCCTCTGCCCAGGCACGTCGGGGTGAGGTCTGCGTTGTGAGAGCTCAGCAGGACATTGTCCAAGGCCCACAAGGGAGACTCCGCCACCAAAGGCTCCTCTGGGGCTGTTGGCGAGCCATTGGCGCAGCAAGCTGAGCTGTGGACTGGAGTTGATCCATGACCATTGACCATGAAGCTGGGATGGCTTTGGGGGGCGAAGAAGTGACTCTACCGTGTCGATCTCCCCTTTCGCCCCGATCGTTCGAATGAACCATCCCATCGTCTCTCATGGAATCACCGCAACCTCGGGTCGACTCTTTCACAAATACCTTGGTCTTCAAAACAGTTTGGTCTTTCTTTCTATAGTTGAGGAAGGTCTGATCCAACCCGGAGGGATCTGGAGAGGTTTTACAAAGGAGCCAACATCCTGAGAGCCTGTGGTGGGGGCCATATTCCCCCCCAAGACTGCTTGATATCAACCGCCACTTAAATCGCCTCTCAGGCTTGAAGCCAGGTTTGGGGTACACAAGGCCTGCTATAGTCGATCCGTGGCTACCACCCCACAAGGGAGCAGCGCCTCCGCCTCCCACCTCGGTGTTTGTGGCCGGCGAGTCTCCTTCTCGAAGACATCCAAGGCAGCCCCTAAGATCTTCTTCTTTTGAAGCCTCAGAGACGAACCAATCATTACAAATCCCTTGCTGAGAAGTCCTCTTTGGACAGGTGGGGGATCCTGGAGACACCAAAAGGCAAAACGTACGCTCAACAAGCTCCACTTGGTGTGTTTTGTACACTCCCGAAAACTAACATAGACCCTGACAGTGGCCCCCCTGGGAGAGTGTTTTCCTCTACCAACCAGTGGTTTTCAGGGTCCATGTTAGTCTTCCAGGTTGTATTTTCTTGTCGGTCCAAGGTGCACTTCTATCAGCGCGGCTTCATCCACGCAAGTTCCTGCAGGCTTGGAGGACAGGACTGGAATCTCTCCACCAGGCTCCACAAGGTCTGCCACCCAAACCATCCTTTACTGGCACACCCTCAAGCCAACCCTCCCTGTTTCTTTTTCGAGTCAGAACGTCCATGAAGTCCCTTCGTAGCACGAGTCATGACGCGTGCTTGCATGGCTCGTAGCACCATGGGTTTGGAAGAAACGCCGTGGCAGTTAATGGCCCACATAGTGCCAGTAGTTGCTTTTGGAGGACTGATATCCGCTGGTAGCCTATCTCCCCAGGCGGCCAAAAGGCTACTGGCCAGTTGCTATCACATTCACCATGTCCATTCACTTCGTACCGTATCTGGTGTCAAGATCCTTATAGTGCCTTATAGATCCGTAATTCTTGGCCTTTCCTTCCCTTATCGATCCCTAATATAAAGTCCTTCTCTTTCCGCTTCAACCATATGTGTCAGGCAACCTACACACCATGCACATGACTAAACACTCCTCTTCACCTCCACACCCGTCGACCCTTCGACCGTCCCCTTCACCTCGGCCGAGCGAGAGAAAGACGCCCGAGGGCTTCATGACCTGCAGCGGACGGGGGACGGTCGCCACCGGTGTTAAACGGCGGGTGACTGTGTGGGTTGGGTGGTGATGGTGGGGTGGGTGCTCTGCAGGACTCCCTGTGGAGTCCAGAGCATGCCTTCGGTTGATGGAAAAACCGATCGAAAAGTGGAATCTACTCCAAATGTTGGGAACGTTTAAAGACTTGTGGAAGAAACATGTTTTACTCAACGTGCCCAAGCACCAGTCACTTGGTCCAGAAAGAACTCTGGGAAGATGTATTCAAACCTCCAACTTACCAACTGCTCTTTTGCCAAAACTCACTCAACAGTTTTTGATCCACATCTCGTCTAGGAAGGGGGGATTCGGGGTGGGTTGGAGGTTCAATTCCTACCTTCTGATGCGCATCTGAGGATGAGATTGGACCTGAAAGAAGTCTGGACCTGAGGGTTTTGAATTCTGGTCATGCCCTGCCCCCCCCCCAACCATCACATCCACCACACTTTGACTGGGCAAGTGAGTTGGGAAGTCTGCCATGATCTTAAACTGACATTCACACCCCACAGCTGAAACTCCTTGCGTTGTCTTAACCTCTTACACTCGCTCCCGTCACTCGTGTCCCCAGCCCGGCGGGTCTTCTTCGATACTTCGGGGGTCGGAACCTGCCAGAGCACCTGCCGTCGCCTCCATCCCCCACTCACCCAGGGCCCCGAACTGCAAAGTCCGCTGCCTCAGGGTGGGAAGGGGACCAGCAACCAGACGAGCCCTTGACACATGTTTCACATGTTTTAGATGATCTCCCTGACAAAGCAGTGGATCAGAGCGGATCAGTCTGACGATCACCTGCCAAATCAATTTGGGGGGGAAGCACATGCTCCACCTGCTGCTGCACATGCTGTCTAGGCACTCCACAGGCATGGTAGGTGGCCTCGCCACCCGGGAGGGAGCAAATCACAAAGTCGGATTGCTTGAAGACTTCCTGCAAACGGAGAGATGGCACGACCTCTGTGTGACCTGCGGCGGCTCTCACTGTTTTCATACATTTTCTGATGAAGACCGCAAAACATGATCCACATCATCTATATACGCTTTAAGCCCTTTGGCACCGATTGACTCACGCCCACCAATGAAATCACCTGTCTGAATGCTCCCAGATTGTTGAACTCGCTCCCCAACCCACAGCGGTTCCAACAGCTTTGCTTCCCTGTTGGTCCGGGCCTCCTTCGCTTGTGGCCCATCCCCCGCGTAGAACATCGCGTCGGCCAATTCCTGTCCACGAAAGGAATTGAAGTGTTGATGGACCCCAGCGGCCCAGTGGTTGAGAAACATGTAAGTAAAAACAGAATGATGTATCATACCTTAAGATATATCAAGGTATCTTGGAAAATCATAAGAATCATAAGATATATCAAGGTATCATACCTAAGAATCACCCTGTGTGCCAGAACTCCAGCCACAAACAACTTGTCCTTTACCACTTTGGCACATTCGGCATCCTATTTTTGAGCCATGAGCCATCTTGGCCGTTCTCTCCGCCGAGCTACCACAAACCTCCTGACTCCGCCCGCGGCATGGCCCCCGCTCCTCGCCGGGGAGACCGCGTCGGTTGCGCCAGCCGAGGACCCTCATCCCCAGCGCCCGACACAGCTTCGCGGTGGTCTGCGCGATGTCGCCAAAGCCGACGAAGCCGCAGGTCTTGCCGTAGAGCTCCTGGAGCAGAGCGACGAACCAAAGCTGACGCAACCGGTGGAGTGCTGGATGAAAGAAACAAACGGGCAAGCACGGCAAGCAACTGGATTTGGATCCTGTCTGGGTGTCCAATGGTCCATCAGGAGTGCTGTAGTTCACCAAGTGGGTGGAGATAGATAGGTGCTGTAAGTAGGTGGATGATGGCTTTCTGAGTTCCACGTCGACGTGTTTGTTGCCTCCCCCCCAACCTCTCCTGCATCTGAAACTTTTCCCAGGTGCGGCTCGCGCGATTGGCCTGCGCGATCGCTGTCTTCGATGGGGCTTGTTTCGTGGCGCAACCGGTGACTCCAAGACGAACTAGATTAGATGACGCGGGCACACAGGTTTCCAAGCATTTGTTGAGGATGGCTTGCACCTCAAGGGAGGTTCTCCTGTCAGACAAGTTCGGAGCTGAATGAAGACCTGTATGCTTCAGTTAAGATAGCGCTAGCACCCATGGTTACATGCAGTAACGGTCGATTGGGATCCACTCTCACGTCACTCACCTCGGCATCCACCGTCCGTCCCATCGATCGCTTCGTCGCACACTCGATCGCTACGCGTCGCATCGCTCCACGCACGTCCACGGTGCCCTGATCGGTCGACCGTCTCCCAAGGGCCTGAAGTCTCGGTATCTGCTTGTTGAAGTACATCATCGCTGCTACAGAGTACTCTGCCAGCGACCTGCCGGGGCTGAGGGGGATGTCCGTCCTGTCGCATCCTGTCTGGGTGTGCTGGACTATGCTGGCTACACGACTGGAGGTCGATGGGACACCCGAGACAGGATGGTCGTGGTGGGTGGCTGTTCATCTTACTGTTTTCTTTGTCCAGTTCGTTTGGGATCCAAAAAACCGAAACAAAGCACCTCAATCAAAACATCTCAAACACATCTGAAGCTTATAGCGTTAGTTTGGGGAGTGTTTCAGTTTCACTTCCAACCCATCTCCGCAGATGGACTCAGCGCTATAAACTCAAGCACTAAAATGGAAAGCTGAGAACCTTTGCTGGAACCCTAGAACCCGGGCGACCCTTTCGCTCATGACCCGGGCGAACGAACCCTCGAGAGTCGGGCCGAGTTCCTCCGGCCGACCGGCCTGGAGAAGGCGCCCTTGGCGTTGGTCAACGGCGTCTCCAGTGCGCCCGGCAAGGTCTTGAGCACCGGCACCAGGGTGTCGACTCCAGCAGAGAGGCAGTGGATCCACTTCACCTCTGGCAGTGAAGATTCGGGTGAAGTACAGAATTCATCTGAAGATTCCGGTGAAAAAGTAGTTTGGACACTGATCGTTGGTGTATTGGACGTGTTCGTTCTGCTCTAGGCAATTCTTTTGTGTGTTGGATGGTTACAGTATCATTCCACTGGAGCATCTGCTTCGTAACTACAATGAGGAAACTAGTTCGTGTGTACGACATTGGGTTATGCACGAGACGATCCGATGATGCGTGGGAAGGAGTCTAAGTAAAACACCCAATTGTATGAGGAAAATAATTTTCCAAGGAGGCTATTGTCCACTTGCACGATTGCTCGAAAGGGACATAATATGATAAGTACAATTAAATACAAGTTCTTGCACGATTGTTAGAGAGGGAAATAGTACAAATACAGGCATGCACATACAAATACTTGCACGAATGTTCGAGAGGCGGGAACCCACAACGATCGACTCCCACAACGAGGTCCTCCGAGCCTTCACATGTGGCCATAGTTCGCTGATGACCTCCGCCCTGCCACCGCTGAAGACCGAGAGCACCAGGACCTCAATCTCCTCCAGTTTGCGTCCGGAGCTTTGGAACTCCTCCAGGGAGTTGCCGAAAAGGCCCACCACGTTCCTGGGAGACGGTTCCCCGGATGAGAAGGTGTGGTGTTTTCAGACACCACGACGTGACTCACCCGGTGTCGAAGTGAACAGCGTGAATGGACCGCCTTTGAATGGAGACTGGTTGGACCGACCGGGGGGGATGTCTTGGGACCTGGTGAGGGCCACCAGTGGTCGTCTTGTCGGTGGAGGACAACTCGATGCGCGGCCAGGTGCATCGATTGATGCTTTAAGAGACCTCTCTCCTCTCAGATCCTTTGGAACCAACTCGTCTTTTGAAAAAGACGCGCGGTCTTCTCCGTTCACGGGAAAGGCCCCGACCGGTCCAATCTTCACCACGGCGTCCCAGGTTGGTGCAACATCCAAAGCCGTTCAAACATGGGATTCTTCAGTCTTCCAGTCAACTTATGAACCCTGACACACAATGATTGGCAAATCACCTGACCACTGATTGGCAGATCACCTGTGCCCTTCACGCAATGTTCCCAGTCCCCTTGAGTACAAGCATGCCCAGTCACATGACCAGTTCAAGTCTACTAAGCTCTACGAAGTCATCTTCCAGTTGTTTTTGTATAAAATTGTATAAATTGAGTTGGATTGATTTGGCATCAAGTTCCATCGACACCGTTGATGAAAACTCTATTCGATACCTTCGGTGGACCTCTTCGGACCAGTTTGAGAGATAAGATTCCCAGCCACATTTGGCGCGGTGGCCAGCTCGTGCAGCTGGATGCCGTTCTCGGTCTTGGTATCAGAGATGAAGGCCACCAGGGTCATGTTCCGCGTTTGGACGCTTGATCCAGAACAGCTCAAAGCCACAGCGCCACAGAGATCTTTGCGAATCAAATGGCTTCTGAAGGCGTTTTGAAGTCTCAGGCGAGAAGAAACACGGCGAAGAGGGATCATGTCACTCCTGCAGGGTGACATGAGGTGTTTAAATCTGTTCGGAGTTTCATCCACTGTCCATCACTTTCCAGTGCAACAATGAGGATGCCCCAGTCTGCCAGACCTGCTCAATGCAAAAACGTACCATGTTCCCATGTTTCTGTTGTAAGCTCGATTTGATTTGGGGGTCTCCAAATTAGGAGCACCCCAACGACGATATAGAAGACTAAGTGATGATGAAACACATTGCTTGTGGGGATCAAAGCCAGTTTGGTCACCCTGCACCTGGATCCCCCGAAAAGGAAGCCAGTTGATCCAGCTGGTGTCAAGTGGAACAGGTGGAACAGAGGCACCAGCAGCACAGAAAGCAGCACTCGTCGCACGTGCGCTTTGCGACCCATCGGGTGCACGACGGCCCATGTCCTTCTTGGGTTCAAACCACGGGTCGCGGCAGGGTTTTCAGGCAGCGAAAGAAGGGGTTGGGGGGATGGCAGCAGTCATCTCATGGATGCAACGAGAGAACAGATCCATGGACGCACTCGAGTCACCGGCGACTTAGCGTTCAACCGATTCCCTCTTTTTGCAGTTATGGCAGTTATGGCATCATGGCATGTCAGACTTCCGAATTCAAAAGCCGTCATCAAGAGTCGTGGAGCTCCAATTTGCTGTGGCACAACGGATCAAACCTCCAAATGCAGCTTGAAAAGAGGTCCACTCAAATGGTATGAAATGGTTCTACAAAACAATCCTTTGCCATCCATTGGTCCAAACTTGTGGAACTAGATGGTATCTCCATGCCATGGCTTGCGTACAGAGACCATGGCTTTGGCATGTTTTGGAGGGTTGCACAAGCTGAACCCTCCCGGTGGCACCAGCCCATCTTGGAAGCCCCAACGCTGGAGCCACTGAGGACATCTCCCACCTTTCCCTCGAAGTCCAAGGGCGCGTATTCCTCGGTCCGTGCGAGTCCGCCGATCTTTCTGGTGGGTTCTTGGCTTGACGGGTGAAGGGAAACTGTGCGACAAACCCCACACCCCCAGATCCTTACGAGGTCTCATGTGCCCCGTCCAGCCACGTGGGAACACCCTCCGTGCATCACCACGCCTTCATTCTCCGAAGCCGCTCCAACTTCGTCACGTCGGCCAGCGCTTTGCCCGTGCGGCCGCCTGGAGTGGGTTGGAGGAGGTCAGCTCAGAGCGTCGACGCCAAGGATCAAGCTGCTTTGCCCATCCAACGGTGAGATGCCAACGAACCAACGTCAACGTCAACGCTCCTTCTGCGCGTCGCGTCCTTCGTTTCGCGTCCTTCCTGACTCACAAAGCCTACGGTCCAACTCAATCAGAGATCTTGGGGACGTTCTGCCAACCCACTCTTTGGGCTCGAAAGGGAAACCCAAAAGCAAGTTCTCCAATTGCCCCAAGCGCGAAATCATCTCTTGGATTTGCTTGAGGAACCAGGAAAAGCAATATTTCCCACAAGGGGATTCACCCACCGGGAAAATAGAAAACGCCGTATATAGGCAAAACCAGGATCTAGATCCTTAAAGGGGTGCTCCACACGTGGCTTGTCCCCACCCCCAGCTCTGCCATGCGCCACACGGGGCTCCGTACCGCCCACTAGGAGTCGGATGTTCCACAAATCCTTGGACCTTGGAAAAATTGGATTCGAAAATAGGAACAAGAGGACGCTACTAGGGGCTCCTGGCATCGCTACGAACGGAGCAAAGGGCCTTACTGGCCTTACTAGTAGTAACAAGAAGCTATCTTTAGAAAAAAAAAAAATCCAATGGATTGGTTGAATTCAAAAAAAATATAAAGACCGACGCCGAGTCTACCATGCTTTTCAACCCCCCAACCGGTCTTGAGTCTTGGGTCTACGGTCTCCATCTGATCATTGTATCATTGTCCTTTCTGGACCTTCAAACGTGGCAAATCACTCGGATTCACTGGCAGAACACGTCACTGACATATGATCTGTCACTTCTCTATAAATTACGTGGTTCTCTTCCATAAATAAGGGGACGTGGTGGAACCAAAAAACAATAAATATATTAATAATTATAAACACAAACGATATATTTGAAACAAAAATACACAAACTGTGTTGTTGAAAAAAAAAACATATTGATCAAAAACCGTGACGATCTTCACGATCTCAATGACAGTGGTGGAAAACCCAACCCGGAAACCCTTTTGAGCTGAAGAAACCAAAACGCTGAGATGGATTCTTGCTTGGTCCTGTGTTTTTTTGGACACTTCAACGGGTTCCGCCTAGGTGTCAGACTGGACAATCTGGACACCTTCTTCATTGGTGTTTTTGTCTTGAAAAGAGCCCGTCCCTGTTCCGGAAGCGGCCGGATCAACCTCATGACCGTGTATGGTGTCTTTTTGAGTCTTTTTATGGTGGTGTGGGAGATCAAAGAGCAAAGAAGACAGACCAATGTGTTGTGGCATGTGCTAAAAAGCCGAATGGCTCCGGACAATGGCGGCGGCTTGGTTCTCTACATTCTCTCTCGCGCAAGTTGTCGTGCAATGGGGCATGTCTGAGGGTCATGAACCATGAGATGACGTAGATCAAAGGGGGCCCTCATCTCTCGAAGAGTTCCTGATTCCTCCAAGAGATGCCCCCCCTATGGCATCCTATGGCCACCTGGAGCCGCCTTTTGGCAGGTTTTGGATGTTTCACCGTGACTTCACCCGAACCTGCCATGTGCAATTCACACTCGAACTGCTGAACTGCTCGCATCCGGCTCCCGTTCGGCGCTCGGTTCGGCTCCCGGGATCCCCCGGCGAGGGCGGCCCCGCGCTCCGCTTGGGCGGAGTACACCTGGGTCGACCCGCATGCGGCGCGGCGCGGGGTCTGGTGGAGGTGAACAAGAGGGAAGTGGGAACAGCACACCCTGCGCGGGGAAAGGCATCTTCCAAGGGCCATTCCCATCCACTTCCGTGCTGAAACAAGGTTTTGGGCAACCATTTATGCCTGATTCACCACTACTGGCCACCTGTGAATTGTCGCAGCTGTATGTTGAGTGCAGAAACATCAAGATCTCAAACACATTGATGGTTCCCACTTGCTGCACATCCATTCATTGTTGATCTCAGAAACCTATTCAGTTCGCATCGAGTATTCCAATTCAACATAAGATCAGTCAAAGTCTACCCACCACGAACTCCGTGGAGCACTGGAGCACTGGCAACGTCTGAGACTATCGGGCAACTCACTGAGAGATGTTAAGAAATCGGAAAAAGTTGGATAAATTTGGTGTAAGATCGATCAAACAGATTCATGACACTATCTGACACTATCCATGACAGCTGGCATCTGAGAAAATCAGGCGCCAAAACCCTCTGGCTAACAGTCTTCTTCTCACTACCAGCCACATCAGCATCTGAGGCTCAAGCAAGACCGCGCGGCAATGGCCAACATTGGCTACCTTGGAGCAAACTGACGAAAGCAGCAAGCAAACAAAATAAACATCCAGCAGCTCCAAACATTTAATTTGTTTGACTGAGTGGATAATTTAAACCATACAGTCCAACAACCACCCCGCTAGAATCCATGGAGATGAATCGAAGGAAAGTACACTCCCTTAGAAGGTTCATGATGTCCAGAGTCATTTGTGCAACGACAAACAAAAGGCCATAAGCGGTGGGTATATCCAAGCACACGTTCGCAGTCATCCCCAAGTAGTTGAATTTTGGAACAGTCCAAAGTTATGTCCTTTTCGTCCTCGCAATGCCTGTCAGTTACATATTCTATGGACTTGTACCCACTGTCAGTCCAAACATGCAAGTGGCAATTGGAAGAAAACGCCTTCCCACCACCCTTGCCATCCACTTCTTCTATGTGAGTCTGAGCCTGAGTGTCGATTCCTGTGGATCCACATACTCTCTGAGGTACGGTGATTGGAGACTCCTTTATGTAGGCGCCAGTCGTACCAGAAGTGATGTGGATCCCTAGGGCTTTAGAATCACCTTGGGAAACCCGGAGCAGCAAGCCCTCCAAGCCCTCCAAGCCCTCGGCCAGTACTCGCTGGCCAAGCACCAGCAACAAGGCCTCAGGAGAGCTTTTAGCCACCTGTATCCTTTCAAAAACCGTCCTGAAGGCCTGAAGGTTCCAAAAACGTGAGATGTCAGAGTAATAAAAGCAACGTTCCTTGGGATTAGGATCAACGAATGTTTCACGAAGTGGATGCAAAACACAGCAGACCAATATCAAGCCCTTCACCCCACAAAAATGGATGCAACATGACGCAACTACCAGCTTGACAGACCTGAAGCATCCCACGCTCCCGCAAGTGGATGGACCTGGCCCCAGAGTTTACAGGCGGTTTGGGTGGTTGATGACTCCACCGCCGAGTTCCTCTGAGCTCCAAGCCAGACCACAACCTGCACAGCACCCACCAGTCGGTCAATCGACCAGGCTCTCAAAGCGTCAGATGAAATCAGCTTTCCATGTCAGGCCGGTACAGAATGCGTCCATTGGTTCCAGAACGCCAAATCTTTTTTAGTTAAAAAACGAACCCAAAAAAAAGGCCAAGAGAGCGGCGCGTCTTGCCGATTGGCTGCGCGAATTGGTTGCAGCCCCACTTACAGTGTTCCTAAACATCGACTGGAGGAGTAGAGTTTGACCCAGAGAAAAAGGGACATCCCAAAGATGTCTCTTCCCACGAGTTCACCCGGAACACTGCACCTTGGGGAGTTTCGCCTCCCGCCCGTTCATTCATCTCACGCCTGCATAGCGGGCATTGCTCTCAAGCAAGGATTTGTCCAGGTCCTCAACGGCCTGGCAATTTTGTCGAAACCCGCCGTCGAGAGGATTTGCACGGGTCTAACGATTCGTCTGTGGGGCTGCAATGGAATTATTGTTTAAACCAACGGTTTAATACCAGG